TTTAAGAGTAGGGTTCAGGGTTGCGCTTTATGCTTCAGGCACATTCAGTTTAAGAGTAGGGTTCAGGGTTGCGCTTTATGCTTCAGGCACATTCAGTTTCTTCCTCCGCTTTTCATTTCTTGGCTCATTTTTTCCGTGTGCATTACTTTCAATAGAATATATGCGTAATATATCTTCGGCCCATGTCTATATACCATTGGTGTTATAAAAATTCCTATGCTATCCATAAATCTCTTACCAAGTCAAAGCAGATCTTAAGTTCTAGCCACTTGAACAGTAGCTTGAGCAAGACGTTGATTTCAAATACCCATCTAACAACTCCATATCCAATCAGTATAATAACCTGATTGGACAAAAAAAGGGTACAATAGGTTAAAAACTTAATAGAAATCATGTAAAATTAACTAGAATTTCAGATTGACAATCTAATGATTTACAATAATGAACATTTTTTTTTTATGAATTCAAATTTTATTATGATGAGGAGTACAAAGGATATTCTACCCAAAGTCTCAAAGAGACATTAGAAGAGATCACCTAAGAGTACATTCAAAATAGCAAAAGAGCTGGGATCCTAATCGCAAAATCTAGCTTTTAGTAATTTCTTGAATACATAGACTAAGAAAATTACACTAGCAAAAGAAGGAAAACACAGTGTTTACAGATTTCCCCTTAATCCAAGCAAAAGTCCTCCTTTGAATTAAATCAAATGTTCTGTCCTTATCCCATTGTTGTGAGTTGTGGATAATGGTGTTTCTTGTGTACCATATGGACCATGTAACCACCAAGAAAATGAAAAACCAAATATCAGATTTAACTAGTTTCTTTATCCCTAGGCTATGAGCTTCACTAAGAAGAGAAATTGAGCTGGGGGAGGGAGATGGAAAGGCCCCACCATTTGTAACATCTCATCCATAGGTCCTGGATCTTCGAACACTGAACAAATAAGTGATTATCATCCTCAACATCCCTTCTACATATGCTGCAGATGCTTTCCATTTCTTCAAGCGGAATGCCTCTCTTTAGAAGACCTGCTTTTGTTGAGAGACCATTAAGGAGAAGGCACCAACCAAAGGAGAAGGTGCCAACCAAAACGCTGACTTTTATTGGGATTAATTTGTTCCAAAGTCTTTTGCATATTCTTGGCTCTAGAATTTTTCTTTGTTCAACCATCATTGAGTATGCCTTGCCAACTATGTATCCATTTTCTACATCAAAGCTCTAGTTTCTTTGGTCCGATTAGAAGGATAGCATAATCCTACTCATGAGGATCTCCTTAACCTTTGTTCTTCATTCCTTTCCCTGTCAAATAGTTCACGTCTCCAAATATTTTTCCACATCCAAGATCCATTTACAATAATGAACATAAATTCATAATCAATGTGCAAGAATTGAAAATAAGAGTTCAAATAGATTAAACTTATCGAAAAAAAGAAATTACATTGAGAAAATTCTTTTATGGTTCGTCTATTAAAAATTTTTTTTTTATTTAGTGAGGGCGAAATTTATGATCTTATATAAATAAAAATGTTCTAACAAAATTTATTATAAGTGTATCAAAATTTTTTATAATATCTATAATACCCTTTTTAGATGTAATAATTAAAATATTAAATTTTTATTAATATTAGTGAAATAAATTATCATAAAATTAAAAAATAAAAAT